TACTAGCTCCTCTTCCACGGGAAGCCTAGAAGCTTAAGAGTTCTTTTTGACACCAGGCTTTCAGCTTGGAGTCGTTCTTCTCTATAGAAACAGGCATTTTCGGCGGCTGCCTGACTTGCACAACTGCTGCTACTCAAATGACGCGCAGCAATATTGTATGACGTTCATGAACGCAACGATGGGTTCTACGCATACGTCGCTCTATCAAAAGCCGGTCTTGGACTCCCCTTACCGCTGTATTTCTTGTTGTTCTGCCTGCACAGCAGCAGCATGCAGTCACGCAGCATGCCAGTACTGCAAAAGCGGCGCGATCTCTGCGGACTATAAATAGACTTGCTCACCAGTTCTCACGCCTTGCAACGTTTCACAGCACGACGCGGATCGACAGGCCATACTAGGTATGCTCGAAAACGAATTTTGACTGCAGACAATTACTGCGGAATTAAGGCGATCAAGGAGAACCGGCAGCTCTAAGAGGAGAGTGGATTGAAGCCAGTACTAGCGAGCAGAGGCAAAGGATGAGCGCAAAGGGCTCGCCAGGAAGCGACCGCGTAAGATAGAGCTAATGCTATGAAGCTGTTATACGTGGAACCCAACGCCACCACGTGCCAGCCGATGTTCAGATACGTGGGCTGGTTGCAGTTTCACGCTCTCGCACGCATGAATAATGCACGTGTACGGTCTGATAGCACTCTAACCACGATTTTATTCACAATAATCAGTGAGCGCCCTTGCCAATCATGATAATGCTTGATGGGACAGCTTTCTACTGATCTGTTTCCTCTCTCTGGATCGGTATTATTTGTACTTTTATCTGTGTGTATAGTATATGATATGTGCTCTGGCCCCGACCTCTCAGAGGAGGAATGAGGACGTGCAGTCGGAAGCTCGTCAGCTTGCAGGATGACTTGGAGAAGCGAGCTCGTCGTCGCCGACGAGTACCGCAACCTGTGGTCATGTTGGTCCGGGCCCTATTTCTACCGGCTTGTGAAAGCTAGTGCTCTGATGAGACCTAGAGCACGTTGTCAGCTGAACTCCCGCATTGACATTTTAAACTTTTCTAACCATGATGTATTTGCTGATGCTATCAGCACATAGGCGCGAGGCCCATAACTCAATAATGTATGCTGGCGTAGTGTCTTCAACTTTTCTACGTTCAGCGAATGATAGTTTATTTACAGGCAAATGAACGATTCAGGACAGAAAAGTAGTCAGTGCAAACCACGCTAGGAGTATTGTTCGCTGGATTGCTGTCACACCCAGCGGCGGCCTATCACTCATATTGATACTGCTTTTGGATGTAGCTCATGTATGACTGGGTGTCTGCTAGGTCAGATCGCTTACTTGTGGAGTGCATGGAGTGTGTGTGAGGCAGAGGCTGGTGCGCTACATGACGCTCTGGCAGTCTGTTCTGGCATGTGTCGTGCTGTAGCATATAGTGCTATATATTACACTTGATTTATGTCATGCAAGCCACAACTGCGTGCAACGAAAAAGTGTCAGGAATGAAGCGAGTGCTATCGCAGCTAGTCACTGCTGTGGATGGTTTGGACAGTGTTCGCTTCTCCCTGGCACGTGGTCGACAGCCACCACCTCCACATTGGTAATTACTGAGTGAATTCTTAATAATCCACGGGGAATACATAAAAGGCAAAGGTGTAGATCTGCTGTGCACAGACTTGGCATTGTCACGACGCAGTCGTCTCCTCGTTCCCTGAGAGTGTAAGTCCAGCTGTGTATCTTGTCTCCCCTTCCTGGCGTCCCGCCTTTAGTGCTGACCAGTTAGGCTGTGATCAAATTGCTCTGACGCCATTTGTGTGTGTGTGACACCGTTGTTGTTTGTGGTCATTGGCATCATTATAGTGGGCTGCTGGCTATATGTGTGTGATCGGTATTACCTATAACACACGACATCATTAGTTGACAGCTGATATGCCGTATCATTTGGCTGACACCTAGCTAGTTTGCTTGCTTGCTCTATACTGTTCTGAGGCATGGCCTAAAAGGACAGGAAGGGAACTTAATGCGACTGCCAGAATGCAAGGAATGCTCTGGTAATGTGGTCATGGCTCCTTTGGCCTCTGGGTCAGTTTTTGACTGATCGTGGCTGTAGTACACAGCTCCGGGACGTTGTCAAGGTGTGATGTTCGTTCCTGTTTCACAGCAAAGGCGTTCCTTGGAACCTCCTTCCTTCGCTAGGCCTCTCCGCTCACCTGACTCTCTCTCTCCCTCTCTCTCTCTCTACAGGTTGCTGAGAACAACTGACAACAAAGCAAAGACTGTCGATTCAGATGTGACGTTCGTTACACTCCATTGTTTGCTATATCTTTGTTCTAGGACAGAAGAATAATATGCAACAACTATTTATAACTACCGTCCGTCCTTGCAGAAAGAGATTCTCATAGAGAGATCAGAGCAAAGACAGACAGACAAGCCGCTAGAGCTTGAGAAGCTGGTTGAAGAGGTCCAGTTGTGTGACTGCATGTCAACATGGAGGTGCCACCGTGTCATTGTGGTACATTCCACATCAACTAGTTGGGGGCGGCATTATTCAGTTGGGTTGGGTATTGATGCGTGTAATGGTTTTTCACTGTTACAGTTGAATGGCGGATTAAGTTGCTGGAAGCGCGATTGGAGTCAGCAGAGACAGGACGATGAGAGTCAGAGTCGTCAGTTAACCCATCTCTCTCCGCTTCTCTCTCCCTCTCTCTTTTAAAATAATCAATTTCTCACTGACTGTTGTATGTATGAACACCTTTGCTCTCCTTGACCCTCTGTTTCCCGTCTTCTATACAGGAAGGTCGGTTCTCTGGAGAAGGGAGCTAACAGAGGCCACGAAAACTCACTGAGGAAGGGTTGTCAGTGATGAAAGGGGTCAGTGTTAACTCTGTATCTAGTATCATTACTCTGTAAGACTGTGTGTGAAGTGTTGTTGCCTACACTGAAAGGCAACCAGAAAAGCAAGGAGTGTGTGTGTGTGGGTAGAGTCCAGTACGTAGCTCAGTCCATGCTCCAGTGTTAGCTACAGCAAACAGCATCAATCTGTGGTCCACGTGAATATTGATTTATGCTCAATTGCTGCACATATCTACACATATTATTACGCCGTCTCCCACATTATGACTTTGTTATAGGAGCATGTGGCTAGTTTTACACCAGCCTGTATAAGTTTGGACATCTCAGTATACGCGAATACAGCTATGGGGCCTTATGGGGCCTGAACTCTGAGAAACTGGCTTCAAAACAAGCACATAGTGCCAACACGGGTAATAGTTCAGCAGAATCCACACATGTACTGCTCTATCTATACCTGTGATATCTGGCTTCATACACAGAACCCAGATTAGTCAATGGAATGTCCATACGAGATCCGCCACCGTGGCATGCTATAGCCTTAACAATGAGAAGACGTAGTTTTTGTCCAGACTATAGGACAATGTTCAATGACTGTATTATGTGATGTTCAATGACTGTATTATGTGAGGCGCGACAAACAAATCTTCTCTTGCGCCCGGTCTCTTTTAGAGTTACTTTTTCATCATCAGTGCATGTATATACGTGTGTGTGTAATTATACGTACGTACGTATATACACGCGTCGTGGCAACATTATGCGCATGCGCAGTGAATCACGCGTGGGCAGTATTTAGAGATATATCCGGTGGCCATTTCTGGCGAGAGGGTGCAGCTCATTTTCGTGTTTTGCTTTGATCGGACAGTGCTCAAGAGTCAGACCGTGAGTTTGGGAGGTTAATCTGTAATTACTCTTGTGTGTATGGCCAGTTTGCTTGGCTGTGAAGGCCTGAGTTTAGCTGTGGCTGTTGAACGCCCTCGAAATCGCCACGGTTGCGCGCGCGTGCACGTTCACCTTTACCATCGGCGGCGCCGGTTGTGTGAATAGCTCAATAGTTTACTGTACAGTGTTTTCTCTTGTGGTGTGTGTGTGTGTTTACGGGACTAATGGTGGGATAGAGCGAGCCGCCAAGGTGCGATGTAGGCCGGCCAACTGTGCACTCCGCGTGGGTCGGGCGCGGCGGTGGCGCCATTCGCCGTTGGCCCTCTGCCACCCTAGCTAACAGTGGGGAACTTAGGACCAAGGCAGGATTTCACGCCTTGTGCCAACGCTGGGGCTTCCAAAATTTCACACGTAGGCATTCGTGCCCAGCTAGGTTTGCTTGCTCCCACAATATGGTAGTGTGTAGCGCACTGGTATGTACTAATTGCTCCTCTTGTGAGGGAGTGTGTGTCCCTATGAGAGTCATACATAGGCCCTGTATTGTTCCCGCCGTGTCCTTAGACAGTACAGAGGGTCTCGGTTGCTCCGTTGGCCGGAACTAAATGTAAGTCGGTGTTTGTTAGGGTATTAGGCGTGGAACAGTTGGAACAGGGAGAAAGGAGAGAGTGGGGCGGGTCTTCCGGGATGGGGGGGGGGTGGGCGAGAATTTGGATTGACTTTGTTGAGCGTTGCTTTGGGTGTGTTGTGTATTTTGCCGTTTGCACCTCTATGAGTAGTGTTAACAGATGCTGTTGAATTTTGAGTTAGGCCGTAGGATTTTTAGCGGTTTTAAAATCGGGGATTTCCCTCTCGCAAGCTAGCTATATAACGGTCCTGTTTTTCAATGTGGCCGATGTAAAATGGGCTACTTGTACTTCGACTGGGCTTGTGAAAGCTCATCGCAAAGCTTTTTAATAGCAATATTATATCCTCGCTTGACTATCGCATTCGGTGACTATATGTAGGCCTCTGGTTCGTGTGTTTTGATATAAGGAAACAGCCCACATTCCGGCTGTAATACGTCCAGATTAGCATCAACTGAAGTTAAACCACAAAAGTGTGGTAGGAGAAGGCCTGTGAGCCAAGTTATCCCTCCACCTCCTGTTTCTTCCCCTACCACTACTACATCGCCTTCGTACACCCATTCGTGTGTGTGTGTGTGTGTTGTGTTATAATATTAATGATACTGGTGCAGCTAGAGGTGGGGTATGGTGCGTGTGTGTCGTGGTGGATCTGTTCGTGTAGTGGTTGTATTTCGTGACGTTGGAAAGGGCTATGTGTGGCGTGTAGCAGTTGGTGCGCCACCACCTTTGCTACGTACTTACATATATGTTGTGTGTGTGTGTTTGCTGATGAACCAGGTCGCTAGGTACAATATGTAGGTATGCCACGCAGTTTTAAACACTAGCTTTGATAATGAAACGTCAGGTGCACGTAGTAGTAGCATATCTCTAAAGCAACTGTCATTGGTAACCATCTCGTTTCTTCGTAGCGTGCAGTGTGTTAGGTACCGTATTATATTCCAGTTTACACGTCGACGTAGGACAACGTGAATATGTACACACATTATAGTGGACTTGCGATATACGGCCGTGTGCAGGGAGATCAACTTGTGTCTGTGTGTGCTACTATCGTCGTCAGTCGTCAGTCAGGCATGGGGAACATGCAAGACGAAGCTGGCAGCTATGAAGGACGAGCACGAGAAAAGAAAGAGGCGCGCCATTGCGCGAGCAGAGAGGAAGCGGAACAGCTTCGGAAGCGTACGGAGGCCAATGCGAACAAAGTAGTTGTCGCGTATGTAGGAAGCGGTGTGTAGCCGTGCGATCTTTTTTGTCACTCGTGTGCCTGGGTGTGTGCGGTTGAGACCAGTGGTGTACAATACAATTTGACAACTGCCTCTCCTCCACGTCTCTATGCTTTGCTGAATTCCCACCAGGAAAGGAGGCTTGTCTTGTTTTTCCTTGTCTACTCTCTCTCTCTCTCTCTGTCTGTCTGTCTCTACCCATATTTATTCCATGTCCTGCTTTTTTAAAGTGATATTATCCCCAGAGAGGGCTCAAATTTGGGAATATGCACTATTTGCCATTCTGGCAGTGTGACGCACTATGACATTTAGCTGTATGCATATCCACATATGTACGTGTACCCTGTGAAGGACTAACGGTCGTTGTTGGGAAATACTTGAATGGTTTGTTTGTTGTTGTTTAATGAAAGGAGAATGACGTGAAATTCTCCAAGTCTCTACCACAGACTTCAAATGCTCTTTTGCACGGGGGATAGGCTATAATCAAGTATATACTGTGTTGCCTCTTTTGCATCGTATCAGTAGAGCAGGACCTGGCCAGCCACGCGAACAAGATGAAGTTACTGGAGAGCGATTTGGACCTGGCCGAGGAAAGGGCAACCGACAGTACGGCAAAGCTGAAGGATGCAGAGACGAGAGTAGAGGAGCTGGAACGAGAGAACAAAGGCCTACGAAAGGAAATAGAACGGATTGAAGGTCATTCATCACCAGTTGTCTCTATAAGTAATCAGTGCATGGAGCTCGCTAATGGGGGTATATACACATACTTAGTATGGCCTGCTTTGCCTTATTGAAACTGTCTATTGATTCAGCAGCCGATATATTTTGTTGTCTCAGCTATTTGGACACCCCACGTTTAACAGGACAATCTCCACATAATTTGTTGCTATATATCAGGACAGCACATTTAGCAGGACACACTTCCCACTCCATGTCTTTCCTTATTAGTTGAGCTCCACTAGAATCTGCACTGTTATATAGTAGCATTGAAAATAGTGGAACCCCTCTCCGAGAACACTGCTGAAAATTAAGACACCTCACCTCTATCCAAAGAACGCTTCCTTGCAAGCAATTTGAGCCCCGAAGATAGCAGGGACACCTCACTAACTTGTTCTGATTGGTGTCCGGGTGAGAGGGGCTCCACTGTTCTGTTGGGTTCTGTGTTTGTTTTGATCTCTGGGCTGGGTTGGGCGGGAAATGTGGCTCAGGTGAACAAGGCGAAGAGAGGATCGACGAACTAAAGCAAAAAGTCAAAGACCTCGAGGCGCAGAGCGAAGAGGCACAACAGAGAATGCGGACGTTGGAGCGTCAGGTCGACCAGTTGGAAGGTGCGAAGGAGGATGGAGAACAGTTTACGAAACTGCATTCTTACTCCCTCTAAACCTAGACTATATATATATATATATAGGGGGGTTACTTAGCTGAATTCCCATCTTATACTCCCCCTCCTCCCTTTTCTGTCCCTCTCCCTCTTTATTCCACAGCCGACTTGGAGCAGGCAGAGGACAACTACGAGAAAGCCAAGAAAGAGCTCGAAACCACTCTCGCGGAATTGGGAGACTTGTAATGGGGCAGCCCCTGCAAAAATAGTTCATTTGTTTTGCAGTTCAATCGAGACTCTCACGAAGAGTAAATTTAAACTTAGTCCACTTGTAGTAGCTACAGTTAGCTATTTTATTTTGATTTATGTGATTTTGGCACAGAATGTGTTGTGTGCTAGTACATACCTTCCCTGTAATAATTTGCAACATTTGCTGTGAATTTTTTTCTAGTGGCATAGGCAAATTTATGGATGTAATAGAGATTTAATTCATGATCAACAATGTTTTGTAGGCTATTGTTTCACATTGCCCCCAAATTTTAACCACAGACATTCACAGCCAGGTTTCGCTGCAGAAGTACAGTCAATGAGATTAACTCATTCGTGATTGCTAATGAACCGAAATTCACGTGCTGTGGTTCGGCAAACAGGTCGTGACTATGGCAAAATGTAATGACCAGTTGAATAAAATTGTGCGCTTCATGATTATAGAATGTTTGTGCTTGACATGAGTTGCTTCGGTTTAGCGAACAACTTGGTGCAAGTCAACACAGTACCGGCGATTCTCACGAACAGTTCAGTACTGAGTTGCTACACTGTGTGTGCGGACATGCACATGGTGTGTGAGGATAGCTGGTTTTCCTTGTGTCGTTTCCTGGTTTCGAAAGCGGATAAGGTGTAATCACTGACATGGGGTTTTAACTGAGGTATGCACCGTTTGGGAAGACAGAGGAAACTCAAAAGGACTGCAGCAGCGCTGCGGTGCGAAATCCGATCGACGGGCGCATGCGCAGTGTTCTAATTATTCGACACAGTCTGAAATTTTGTAATGCGCACTACGTCCATCACCATGACAACCAGTAAACAACGGCCGCCTTCTCTGAGCTAAAAGAGGATGAGTGTACGCACCTACAATCCTAGCGTCCGCGTTGGGAACTGGAATGAAGATCTGTGCCTAGAAGAGGTCGGGAAGTCCGCAAATCTTGCTATGGCGCTAATAGACTAATCTTGCGTTCATAGGAGCAACTGAAGGACTTTCTGGAGAAGAAAGACAGGGGAGAGCTGACGGTGCAGAAAAAGACAAATTTCCTCAAGACTATCCTCAGAAATGTCAGTCAGTTCTCCTCAACCTACAATTTCTTATACAGAACGAAGTGTCTTTATTCTTCACATCCTCTTCCACAGGTTGAACTGTCTAAACCCAGTGATGGTTACCTCCATATCGGTGACAGAGTCTGTCTGTTGCACACGCCGACAAAGACGGTGGTGTCCGCCCATGTCACATCGCCAGGGCCTTTGACGCCACTCGACTGGAGAGCGGATGTGGGGTGACTTGCTCTCGGCAGCTCACTCCATGCCCACGAAATGTCTTTGTCATTACGAGGTACAGAGGTGTCTTGTACATAGCTATAATTATATTTGCAAAGTTAAGAGGAAAAAAACCAACACCTGTTTCTCTCTCCGTAATTATAATATCGGACTCACTGATATACATGTTTCATCACAGTTATGGTGAACAAGAGGCAAAAGAGGGTGAAGTAGTGTGCTACGGCCAACCAGTGGCTCTTGTGACACTTCCCGACGAAGGTGGACAGGTAAAGTCGTGCGTTTCATCTATCACGTTACTATTTCGGTCCTCTCCCTCTTGCTTTAGCTTGGTCTGCACAGTGATAGAGCCACATTCACCAAACACTCGCGGTTCTCTCGAGAGCAGGAGGTTCTACTCGAGGAAGACATCAGCTACAACTCTGCTTGGTATATACACAATATAGACCACCCATTAGCCTATGAACATAATACAAACAACCCTCATTTCTCACTTTTCACCTTCCAGGAAGTTTATATGTTTCAGTCAAGATGAAAGGCTTGAAACAGAAGGAACTCCTGTACCCGTGAGTAGGCTCGAACGTGTTACTATATACCCATGGTGTACGTACGTATGCACCCTTTCTTTCCACTGCTGTGTATATACATACATTACAAAGGCCAATACCAGAGTGTTCCTCAACCACTGCAAGACAAACCACAACCTGGCAGTACACGAAGAGTGGACTTACAAGTACGTTAAAAAAGCTGGCAATCTGGTTTTCTGGTTGCTATCAAAGATGTGTCGGGAAATTGCATGTACACACTCTAATGTAGTGGATGATTGCTCACTGCCTCTTTCTCTGTCCTTCTATTATACTTAATTTCCCTCATGCAGGACTCCATTTGGAAGAGAGCTAGAGGTGACAGGACACACCCACCTCAACACACACAAGGCAGAGGACGTCCACAACCATTTCATGGTGGTCACAGGCAGTCTGGAAGACGCAGTCGCCTCGCTCTCTCCCTCTTCTTGAGATCTTTACTCCGTAACCTCTTCCAACATTGTATACTAGTGTACCTGGATACATACAGTATATATATGCTACGGGAATTGTGTTCTATTTTCATTCTGTAAAGAGCCACATTGTACAAACATAGCACTACTGTTGCATGCTGCATTATAAAAAAAACATAAAAGTTATAATGAATCACTGCTGCATTGGTATATATTCCAAAAACATAAGTATGTCTTTTAAGATGGTTTATCTTGAATGGAGCACTGTGATAGAGAAAGCAGAGGTGAATAATGTTATAGAATGCGGGGTTTCTTATATATAACATACCTTCTTCTTCTTTGGACAGTAGCAACATGCCCTACAGAGGAAATTGTAAGGTTGGGATGACGTGATATTATAGGTGGACAGAGAAAGAGTGGGAGCGAGATAATAACAACGAAAGGTTGAAGGGGAAAAGAATAAAGTTTTAAGCGAGAGAGGCGGGAAAGACGAAAGGTTGAATTTAGCAAAAAGAAGAAGAGGTGTGTAATCATGTGTGACTGATCAAGCTAACCACGTGGGCTTATGATTTCGGAGATACGACACGAGCGAGTGGCCCTTGTGACAGATTTCAGCACACGGCTGGCACACCCCTGACAGAGAGGGAAAACCCTTCCATCATAACACTCCTCTAAACTCACTCCCACTCACAGTTGAATCCGCAGTCTCTGCAGGTGAAGTAGTCTATGCCGCGAGCTGTCTGTCCCTTGACAAAAGTGGCAGCAAAACACTGCAGAGGAGTCTCTCTGTGTATATAATAATAGGAGGAGTTTCTATAAAGTACAGTGGAATCTCATTATAAAGAACACACTTAGTACGAAATTATGGATACTACAAACACACCCTCGGAGCCTAGCACTATAGAACACTTGCTGTGAACAAGTTCTTTAGGTCCCCAGCAATTCATTCCATCGAGACTCCACGCTATATTTTAGCTGGTAGAGAAAATATTACTACGGAACACGCAATTTCGACCTACAGCCTTTTTCAACTCTGAACTCGAAAAAGGTGGTATGTATGTATGAGGAGTATGAATAAACTTCACTCCTTCCCTCTCCCCTCCCCTTACCCCACAGAACGATGGCTCCTTGAATCTCAGCTCTGTGCCTGGTTTCTGCAGGAACATTTAGCATCAGACGTTTCAGGTGCTGAGAAAATTTAATAGTGACTACACCAATGTGATATAGCGATGGTTGCTTTCGCAGACTGAGACATACATGTTTCTTTTAGCTCTCAAAACAAATGAAACTCAATACTCACCAGACAGAATTCTAACAGTGGTTTGCAGTCTGCGTGTAGCACCTGATCCAGTATGTTCATCTGACCTTTGATCCCACCCGATGCTCTCTCGTCGTCATGGTTACCACTGTTAGCTCCACCCACCTGGGACTCGTCGGCCACACTCCCTCGTTAGTACGAGCAAACGGACTGGAAATGGCGAGGAACGGTGGCTAATCTGACCACCAAGGTTAGTTAGTGCTAACTTGATGATGGAGACGGTAAACTCCTCACACGGAGGAAACTCAGCTATGGCCATGCCCGACTCTTCCATGGCCGACCGCAGCTTCTTCAACACAGCAGCCATGCTGTCTTCGGGGCGCAGGATGACCTCGGGGGCCAGAAATTGGCGCTCGGGGACCGAGAGAGAGACCGTGACTGGAATGGTGGACGGAGAGGGCAAGTACTCAGTGAGTATCTGTAGGAACAACAGACGCATTATACACCAATAGACTTGGAAGCCAATGGCATATTTGTACATTATAGTATTTACCCTCGGCGCGCATGCGCAGCGAGGGTACTGTAGTTGGGTTTGTCTCTGTATATACTGTCTGTCTGTCTGTCTGTCTGTGTGTCTGTTTACTCTCACATCTCACTTCTCGGGTGTCTGTTCGTCCCAGAAACGATACCATCTACACCAACGGCGAAGAGGGTCAGAAAATATGGGGGTTTTCTCTGAAAATGATCCGTTGCAGAGCTAGAGCATTGTATGGCTAGTCGCCATTTATCGCTGGCGGATAATGCGCATGCGCTTACCTATATTTAGCACGACCGCGCGCGCGGGTCCGCTTGCTCTGTTATCTTGAAGGCACAAGAGAATGGCGTGTATCGACTCTCGCGTGCTATCAACTACTGTAGCTTAGCCGTGTCAGACTCTCTGCGAGCTACTTCGCCGAGGGTTTGCACTTTAGTGCTTTCTACACTGTTCCCATTCAAGTAATGGTGGAGTTCTGATGGATAAGCACCCCCTCTTGATGTGAGGTCCTGTTCGATCCTGGTTCGATCCCGGGGGGGTGTGCGCCTTTTTACAATGATGTAATAGGAGTGGTTGGCTGTTGTGGTATAAATGGAACGTTTTTTCATCACCTCTCCAGGCCAGCTCCGTAGTGGTTAGAGTCGTGGGGACTGACACCATAGGTGCCCGGTTCGAGGATCGACCGCACTAAAGTGTCAGGTGGTCCAGAGCATTGGCTGGGAACAGCTCTGGTTCCTCCCCTTACCCACAAATCTACCACTGAACCATGTTTCTCAAAGGGCAGCGTACAGTTCGGCATAGCACTGCGTCCGTAGACGTCTGTCTGGAGAGATGAAGGGCTGGGCGTTTTTTTAAATTTTGTTTCCTCAACCTGAGGTTGTTTTTTTTGCACTAAAAAAATCCACAGGTAATACGAAAATTAATAGAGAGATGAAAGGTTGGCATTTTTTCAACCTTATATATTTTTGGGCCTCAAAACACATGGAACACATGGGGCTGGCCATTTTCCATGCTGTTTTCTGGTCAAGACCATCATTGTGGTGGTGCACACTTGTGTATGGGTTCCACAGTGTGCCGAGGGTTTGCACTTTAGTGCTTTTCATTTCATCAGTACCAGGAGGTTACAAGTTTCTGAGTACTGATGACTTGAGACAACGTAGAAAGTGGGGAAGCTTTACCCACTGTACTGCATTATGCCTTGCCTGTCATATGGTGGAGGTGAGCAGTTGTCCGTCTTCTCCAGTTCCTTGGCAACATCTCCTTCTTCTCCTCTCCCTTCATGCTCTATCTCAACCAGCTGTGAGAGCCTCTCTGAGGTGGAGGGGAGGGTTCAACTGCTAACTACACGGGTGCTTTTAGTGTATACACCCATGCTATGAGGACCTCTCCAATAAGGACACCTTAAAGTGGAACTTTTATCTGAGGACACTCGGAATGAGGACACCTCTATTTCAGTGTGGAGCCATTCTCTGAGGGACGCCACCTGAAATGAGGACACTTTTCCAACAGTTCTTTGCTAACAACTGAAATAATGACACCTCACTGATATGGACATGTTCTTCCATCCAATAGTGTCGGGATTAGAGGGGGGTCCCTACTGTAATCCATGCAATACCTGGGTGTCAGGGTCGTGGGGGAAGTTCCTCATCGTTTTCTCAGTGAGCAGCTGTTTCTCGAGAGCTATTTTCCCCAACGCTCTCTGGTAGTCTACTATCACTTGCTGCAGTCAAGTCATGGATGGAAAGAGTACACCACACGCACATAGATATGCAGGCAGCATTCTTCTGCACTCATACGTGATTGCCCTCGTTACACTTTCATACTTGTTAGAAAGAACTGTAATGAGCTACTCTGTATATGCCTTGCCACTTTAAGGGGTTTTTACAGCTCATTATGGGAGTATCAGCTTTTTATCAACATTTTTCACTAGCAAATAATACGATCTTAGTGTATACACACTTGAAATCGCTTTGCTTGTTGGCTCAATTCCTAGCCGTATATTGTGCGAGGCACTTAGTCTGTAGTCAAAATTGTTTTAGCATGTGCCCCGTCAGAAGACAATGCCCCATTCATCGTCAGGCACCACTGAATAAGCCGACCCAGACATACCTTTCTCCATAATTATATTTTATATCATTCCATATATGTAGCTGAGGGTTGAGTATTCTTTAGCGACAGTGTCACTATCTATGTAGATCTCTACTCGTGAAATATGCTACTCGTGCGAGTTTCTCAGCAGTATGCTATCAGGGGCTCTGTGGAACAAAATCTATACATCATGCCTCAAACGCGACTCTACTAGCGCTACTGTATATGCAGTGTTATTACTATTGAGCTACTAATCAGTACATTGTTGTATATTAGAGCTCTGTTCCACGTACTTCTAAGGATGATAGAGTCAAGAGGTGTACTCGACTACACGCGACCATATGTGTGTGCCACCAAATGGAGCATTAGACCAGTTGCTAGATCGAGAATAAAGAGAGAATTCTCTCATACAAAAATCATCTGAATTTTGAGGGACACATGCGAGTGATGAGAAATGTCGACAGCAGTTAGGAGAAGTTCATCGCAGTTATTACAGCTGAGTAAGCTATACATTATACCTGCATCAACCAGTTGTGATTGTATTCTCGCTCTGCTTTTCTCCTCTCGTCTCGACACCACATCCTGCCTAATTACAAACAATGTAGGCCTCAAGGGAGCAAGATTGGCACACCAATCAGATGCGGGCTCACTCATCAGAGCTGCAACGGAATGATCGCACGATGACGTCATCCACTATTTAGCGACCGTCGCTTATTGCTCGCAGGGCACTCGTGACGGCGATTATTGCACTCTTCTATGCACTATGTGGCAGGGAATCGGTGGCCGCAACTGTGTCACCGACGGATCTTTTCGCTCGAGCGTTCTCGAAACATGCATATAGGGCACGTGGGATAAAATGCTCGTCCACGGAGAAACTGGCTATGTGCTACAGACATCTATTGATGACCATGGTTCTCGCGCTTACGTACGGGGATTTTTAGAGGAAGATCGGCTGAGTCCTCCGTGTTCTGCCGATCTAGGTTCACGTTGGCTTTCCCTCCTTCTGCCATAGCTCTCCTTTCTCACGCTCCTTGTCTCTGCTTTTCTCGTGCCGCGGACGAAAGGTGGGCGTGGCACCCCGCCCATGCGTGCGCACACACAGTACACACGTACATAAAAGCATTCCGTTGCAGCCAGGCCGTTACACCCAAAGTTCCACCACCACGCCGTGTAGCCTGCAGCCTCCACGTCTCCGAGTTCTCTAGTCGAGGCTTAGAGGAGCGCGTAGGCCGGGAAGGAAAGTCGGAATTCTTGCGCGGTTCGTGATCCAGCTGCTGGACTCTCTGCACCGTCGTCTCCTTTACCGCGCCGTGGCTGCTGGGAGCTCGACCATTCTGTGAGTATAATTATAGCTACACCTCAACACCTGGGGTTGTGTGACGGGTATATAAATGAGTGATGGAAGACGGGAAAGAGGCGACTGAAGTTTGCTGTGATAATTTGTCTCTCGTTAGCCCCAATTAGCGTCTCAGGGTGGGGATTTTGACAGGGAACGGAGCTCTTTGTGTGCATGTGGGGTCCCTTGAAAATTGAAAAGTCCTCAAATGTTCATCTCCTAACTAGCTGCAAGAGTGTGTGTGTGTTCTTGTTGGATTAGTGTTGCAGCTAAGTTGTGTGTGTATGTGTGTGTGTGTGTGCTCTGGGCAAGCTGTGCGGCATTCCTGTCTTGGACCTTCACGAAACAGCTGCTCTGATTACTCAGGGTTGGCCCTGGATGACAGGGCTCGATTATACCCTCCATACACCCATATTACCTTCAGCAATGGACACCATTCACGCACACATGTGTCCTTCTAGGCCTGCACCAGGAAACGTACATGTGTGCCTACTCTCCCATTCAGGAAAAAGTTTTCCTGCTTTGCAAAGTTTATACATACCTCCATTACGTTGTGTGTACTACGACAGCGGGGGAATTGTGCTGTTATAATAGCTGTGTCTCTCCTTTTGGACTTCATTTACATAAATATGCACTAGTATAATAATTTATATGCACCCCGTACGTTTCTAGGCAAGCTAACTAGCCAAACCACCTCATTCAACGGTGAAAGAAACTCTCTTAGACCCAAGGCCAGCTTATCAGCCATCTTTGGCTAAAATCCCTCACTGTATATACTCTCCTGTTTTTTTCTATTTCTCTTTTTGTCTTAACCCCTTTGTTTCTAGGTATATTTGTCTTAACCCCTTTGTTTCTAGGTATATTTGTCTTAACCCCTTTGTTTCTAGGTATATTTGTCTTAACCCTTTGTTTCTAGGTATATTTGTCTCAACCCCTTTGTTTCTAGGTATGGTGGCGTGGTAAAGCATGCTAGAGGTTTGTATGTGGACACCACCTGTAATTATGTGGTTTCCTTTAACAAATTGATTTTTAAGTGGATGCCTTACGACAAGTTTTTGGGCCTTTGCAACATTCTCTACTGAAGACAGGCTTGTGTGATGTCATAGGCTTCTGTGGTTCCTTGTTTTACAACCAAGTGTATATACAACCAAGTGTACAACCAAGTATATATACAACCAAGTGTACAACCAAGTGTACAACCAAGTATATATACAACCAAGTGTACAACCAAGTATATATACAACCAAGGGTACAACCAAGTATATATACAACCAAGTATATATACAACCAAGTGTACAACCAAGTGTACAACCAAGTGTACAACCAAGTGTACAACCAAGTGTACTGTAATTCTGCGTTTCCTGGTTCTAAGGAACGTACAAACATGGGGGGGGGTGCTTCTCACTTTCACGAAACCATATGAGCGATAGAAGGAGGAGAGGGAGCGATAGAAGGAGGAGAGGGAGCGATAGAAAGAGGAGAGGGAGCGATAGAAGGAGGAGAGGGAGCGATAGAAGGAGGAGAGGGAGCGATAGAAGGAGGAGAGGGAGCGATAGAAGGAGGAGAGGGAGCGATAGAAGGAGGAGAGGGAGCGATAGAAGGAGGAGAGGGAGCGATAGAAGGAGGAGAGGGAGCGATAGAAAGCGAGAGAAGGGCTAATGGGTTGGCCAAAAACTTTAACTAGTCTCCTCCAATCCAAATGTCCCCCCCCCCGGGCCTACAAATTTTCACAAACGACTATATATTAAACTCTTCCTCGAAGTTTTTTTCACAATACGAATTATATTGCGATCGAATCACCACCTGCAGTCGAGTTACCTATCCATTATATTGGTCTGCATGTGTGTATATGTATACTGAGCAGTTATATATATATATATATATGAACCCAGTTCTCATTGCTACTGTCTCATTGTGTGGGCTGGTAGTGTAATAGGATATACAAGGTCTGCATGTGTGTATATGTATACCGAGCAGTTATTATATATATATATATGAACCCAGTTCTTATTGCTACTGTCTCATTGTGTGGGCTGGTAGTGTAATAGAATATACAAGGTCTGCATGTTCGTGTACATTGGAGTTATTAGCCGATGCTCTTGTAGCTATGGCAATGGAATCAGTGGGTTTGCGTATGTTTCTGAGCCTCGTCCGTACTATCATCAGCTGCTGCACGGAGAACTACACAGAAATAAGAGATGAGAAACTAGAGTGTAGGTAGAGAGTGCTGATGGCTTGTAGGCTCATAACATCGCTGTAGGCTCAAATTATGACATAATCATAGCCCCACATGTTTCTATTCTGCCCGTCCCTAAGCTACCATAACATGGAGAGTTTGTGTTTAATGCAGGAACGCTGCAAGAGAATGTCGGCCAGTGGGACGCTATGCATTGCCGCTCACAGTCACACCTCACACAAACAAAATGTGAGTTTCTCTTGACAAACTCTTTATACTTATTTTCTCACTTTCCACGTGTATGCCATAATGCTCTGCATTCTCTTTGTATGTATATTGTTAAAATCATGTGTTCAGAACGTCAAAATAGCCTGCGCTAGAAACCAAGTATGAATTGTGTTTATTGTGCTACATATTAGGCACCCCTGGGTGGTGGTATTTTGTACTCTCTACTTATGCTTTTACTGAAAGGGAAACAGCCTTTACCGTAGTGAAAACACTGTCAAATACACACAGCTTACCACGCACAACGTTGATGTTTTCCTTTACCAGTAACTTCTCTACACAAACCATCCGTTCTGAATGTGTAGACCTTTCAATGGTATTGAGCGATCTCAGGCAGTGATGTCATAGTGAGTGGCATAATCCGTAATCTGATTGGTCGGTTGCTGACACACCCACAGAATTTGCGCCGGTAGCAGCATTGAATAACCCCAGGAATTTTGGGGGAGTTTTTGTGTTAGAGACACAGTTAACAACATGATGATCGAAGTATAATGTAGTTATGTATTCTTTACTAGAGTGTATATACAAGATAATTGTGAGTTTTCCTCTAACCTTGGGGGAACCTCTAGATGAAGTGTATAGCACGTTGCAACCACTGAAAGTGTTGGCCAAGGTGTCCTATATTATTTCAGAGTGCCCATTAATTCCTCTGTGGCACTGACATGCTTAATTAGTAGCTAAACAGGTCCTTTATAGAGAGGTGTCCTATAATAATAGAGTATCCTTAAAAGGTGGTCTGAAATGTGATTTTTGATTCTCTCTCTCTTTCCATTTCAGGAGCTACAGTTTGAGAAAGGAGATGTGGTGACTCTAATTGATGAGCCCTCAGGGGTGAGCTAGCTAGGGTTGTCGCTTTGAACGACACTTGTAATGTAGTGTGTGTACGATGCTTGTAAGATTTGAATAGCAATTATTCAAAATTCAAAGGTTTGAACCTAAATTACTATAATACAAGGACAGCATTCTACAGTATTACTGATTGTATGTACTTTGTCTTGTACCCAATATGTATGTGTAAATAGCCACTAAATTTATATACAGCTAGGGGCTATAGGCTAGCTTGGACCTACAAACATCGTGTTTACTGACAGGGAAGTTCCTATCAGTTAACAGAATCTACAACCCTGATGTAAGTGGTGTTCTGCATGTACAGTCAGCTGATAATAACATGGCATCTGTTTTACCTTCCCCCTGCATATTTGGGTGTAAACAGAGGACATTGCTTCAGCTCACTTAACCACAGGTCCTGTATGGACTAGCTTTTAATTATTCCTTGATGGGGTGCAAACAGCGTAGAAAATGGTTGATTTTGCCATTTTTAGCTGACTGCCACATTAAACATCGTTCTCAACGTGCGATTTTTAAATGCCACATTTTCCAGAATTTCTTAAGGCAACAACAAGCATATAAAATTTCTATCTGGCTAATTTAAAATTATAGACTGGCTTGATGCCAGTAGATCACTATGCTAAACTTGTGAGAACCTGAAAGTTTTTTTAGTGAAAATGAAAGTTGTTTTCCAGTGACACTGTAAACACACATTGGTCATGCTCACCCTCCCACAAACACTGGTTTTTTGGCAATTGAAAACAGACCACGATATTGTTATTATCGTGGAACTGAGATTTTGGAATCGCACACAAAGTTTTGGCGGCTAAGTGCAGTAGGGTGCTACGTATGTAACATGCGATTACCACCACATTTGTAAATAATCAAAATTTAATGTGCGCAAGTATTTCCAGCTATAGTAGTATGGAATCCTGATGTGGTGTGTGAATGGGCGGGGGTCCAAGATGACCTATTACTGTGTGCATACATTATTTTCAGATTCAGATTTTAAGGGCCATAGAGTGCATTAGGAACTTGTTTTCGTTGGAGTTTTATATTTGGGGGCCCTTGTGATAGGCCTAGCCAGCTGAATTGATGATGCGACTTAACCCAATCCAATAATTGACCGCTCTGTGACTTGAGCATGCATCAGCGTAGAGCGTAATAAGTCAACGTACTAGCGGTACATCGTCCTGACTTGGAGTGGAGTGCGGAACACTATTTTTCTCTCTCTCTGTGTATATCAACTCAATTGACCTTCTGTCATAGGAAAGACTTTAGCATGCAAGTGCAGACACATTGCTAGTTGTACATCAATCCAGATTTGGAGTGGGAACACTATTTTTTCTCTCTCTCTGTATATCAAATCAATTGACCCTCTCTCATAGGAATGACTTTAGCATGCAAGTGCAGACACATTGCTAGTTGTACATCAATCCAGATTTGGAGTGGGAACACTATTTTTTCTCTCTCTCTGTATCAAGTCAATTGACCCTCTCTCATAGGAATGACTTTAGCATGCAAGTGCAGACACACTCCCATGTACTAGCCGTTCATCAATCACTATTTCTCTCTCTCTCTCTCTCCCACCGATCTCTCACTCCAGGATTACTGTCAAGCGACTGCGGCAGACGGCAGTGTGGGACTCGTTCCCATGTCTTCAATCCTGGAACGACCCGGAGTGGTGCTACAACCCATGCCCTGGTTCCACGGACCAATCACAAGGTACACTATATCAGTGGAACCCTTCTCTTAGGACACTCCTGAAAATAGGACACCATTCTAACGAGGACACCTTTCCTTTCCCCGAGAACATGCTGTATATAACCTCACTGATATGGGAACTTTCTTCGGTCCCATTGGTGTCTGGATTAGAGAGGTTCCACTGTATAATGCTCAGGACACCTCACTAATATGGACACTTTCTTCTGTCCCATCGGTGTCCGGATTAGAGAGGTTCCACTGTATAATGCTCAGGACACCTCACTAATATGGACACTTTCTTCTGTCCCATCGGTGTCCGGATTAGAGAGGTTCCACTGTATAATGCTCAGGACACCTCACTAATATGGACACTCTCTTCTGTCCCATTGGTGTCCGGATTAGAGAGGTTCCACTGTATAATGCTCAGGACACCTCACTAATATGGACACTTTCTTCTGTCCCATCGGTGTCCGGATTAGAGAGGTTCCACTGTATAATGCTCAGGACACCTCACTAATATGGACTCTTTCTTCTGCCCCATTGGTGTCCGGATTAGAGAGGTTCCACTGTATAATGCTCAGGACACCTCACTAATATGGACACTTTCTTCTGTCCCATTGGTGTCCGGATTAGAGAGGTTCCACTGTATAATGCTCAGGACACCTCACTGATATGGACACTTTCTTCTGTCCCATTGGTGTCCGGATTAGAGAGGTTCCACTGTATAATGCTCAGGACACCTCACTAATATGGACACTTTCTTCTGTCCCATTGGTGTCTAGATTAGAGAGGTTCCACTGTATAATGCTCAGGACACCTCACTAATATGGACACTTTCTTCTGTCCCATTGGTGTCCGATTAGAGAGGTTCCACTGTATAATGTCTCAGGACACCTCGCTGATATGGACACGTTCTCTCTTGTCCCATTGGTGTCTAGATTAGAGAGGTTCCACTGTATAATGCTCAGGACACCTCACTGATATGGACACTTTCTTCTGCCCCATCGGTGTCCGGATTAGAGAGGTTCCACTGTATAATGCTCAGGACACCTCACTAATATGGACTCTTTCTTCTGCCCCATCGGTGTCCGGATTAGAGAGGTTCCACTGTATAATGCTCAGGACACCTCACTAATATGGACTCTTTCTTCTGCCCCATTGGTGTCCGGATTAGAGAGGTTCCACTGTATAATGCTCAGGACACCTCACTGATATGGACACTTTCTTCTGTCCCATTGGTGTCCGGATTAGAGAGGTTCCACTGTATAATGCTCAGGACACCTCACTAATATGGACTCTTTCTTCTGCCCCATTGGTGTCCGGATTAGAGAGGTTCCACTGTATAATGCTCAGGACACCTCACTGATATGGACACTTTCTTCTGTCCCATTGGTGTCCGGATTAGAGAGGTTCCACTGTATAATGCTCAGGACACCTCACTAATATGGACACTTTCTTCTGTCCCATTGGTGTCCGGATTAGAGAGGTTCCACTGTATAATGCTCAGGACACCTCACTAATATGGACTCTTTCTTCTGCCCCATTGGTGTCCGGATTAGAGAGGTTCCACTGTATATCACCGTCAATTTCTATAGGGAAAAGCCTCGTTAGTATCTATAAGAAAAAAACCCTCAGTTGAGAGTGTGAGTTGGAGCTCTCTGTGTGTCTCTGTGTGTGTAGGTTTGAGGCTGAGAAGATATTGGACAGGAACCAAGACGGCCAGTTTCTGATGAGGACGAGTCAGAGCACAGAAGGAATCTATGCCTTGGCCGTCTCGTACGTCTCTCTTCCTTTCCTATCTCTCCCTCTCTCCCTCTCCCCCTCTCTCTCTCTTTCTCTTTCCTTACCCTTTACGCTTTCTTCTTTAACCCTCCCTCTCCCCCCTCTCTCGTCCCTCCTCCTCCTCTCTCTCCTCTCTCTCCTCTCTCTTTCCTTACTCCCTCCTTTCTTCTTTAACCCCCTCCTTGGACATCCTCCCTCTCCCCCTCTCTCCTATCCTTCACATATTCTCCACATATTGTTTTTCGTGTGGCAAGCACATTCATTCTCACTACTAAACAAATTTTTCATCCCCGCACGTTATAGCACAGTTGATCTATATATATACTGTATTACATTTATACAGGCACAAAGGGGCAGTCAGTCACTATCTGATAGCGATGGACTTCTCCACACGAAAACTGACCATCTCTGGCAAACTTTACTTCCCAACTCTTCTCGAGCTAGTCAACGTGAGTCACCTGATACCCACATGATAGTCACGTGACCTGCGCTCCCTCATAATAATGTTGGTGACATAAACATGTTTATAGGTCTTTTCTATTTTTCTTTCAAAAGAATGTGTGCTTATTCCTTGAACCTCGTGATATTTGTAGCAGGAGGAAAAAATTTTCTATTTCATCCGCTAAATATTTCTTACAAAAATTTGTTCTGTTGTTGTTGTGTTACTGCAGTATACTGTTGTTGTGTTGTTTACTGCAGTGTTCTGTTGTTGTTGTTGTTTACTGCAGTGTTCTGTTGTTGTTTTACTGCAGTATTCTGTTGTTGTTGTTGTTTACTGCAGTGTTCTGTTGTTGTTGTTTACTGCAGTATTACATGAGAAATGATGAGGATCTGGGGACATGTCTACGTGTACCTCGGATTAGACCGCGGTGCCCTGGAATATCTACGTCGACACTGAGACTGTTGACACCAGTGAGCTTATTGACACTCAGGGCTACCTTTTAGAACGTGTTATCGAAAGATAGAGCTTTATAGCCCAGTGCAAGAATGCAATTAGGTTCCATTTTCCCACACACACACACACTCTCTCTCTCTCTCTCTCTCCCTCTCTCCCTCCAGAGTGGGGTCTTAGTGAATCTCATCTCACTCTTGGAACGTCAATAGGGAAAGGGACTTGCCGAGTCCTCACTGGCACATACACAAGGTTATGCAGGTGATCCACCAACTTTCACTTTCACGTCACTAACAACACAACCACCTTTAGAGCCGATGTCCGCTATCGGAGTGACAGCCCCACACCATTGAGTGGTGTCCTTATGCACTTTACTCAATCAGACTTTGTGTGGCGCGCTTTAAAACTGTTATCTGTGTGTATAATGTAACCAATAAAAAGTTCACACAATGGTATTAGGTGGCCGCCCACCGGAGAGGATTCACGACGATGAGAGGAGTGGAGTTGGCCGTCACTGCTCTCCTTGAGAGAAGCAGCGTCATGACGTAAGTCGTGGTCCGCCGAAGCCCGTTAGCGGGGTGTGTGGTGCTAGTGTCGTGACTTTGAACCTCTGCCCGTAGTCACAACTGCACCACAAGAACCTGTTCAACTGGTTGACTGGTTTGAATGTTCGCCTCTCAAGCTGCATCGTCCTGGAAGTCATGGGGAAGGTATGTAATACAATACTGTATTGTGTTTTTAGCAAGATGCATTCAGGTTTGCAGAAATTACAGTTGCATGCGTTTCTACTTACCTACTTATTTTGTAGAAACATTTTTCATGTTTGTGTGGAGAAAAAATATTGCATGCTGCAAAAATTTGAACCCTACCGTATATTTTTAGTGTCTGTAGATCTATCTTTCTCTGTCCTATTCTCTTCACCCCCCCCCCCCCCCCCCCCCCCCCCCCCCTCCCCTCTCAGTCTCTCTTCAGGGCTCGCTACAGAAGTATCTCTTTTCCAGAGGTGTCGATCGGTTTTTTTTGTCACACAATCAGAGCTTCTGGCTTTTCAGGTAAATTTACCCAACCATCGCCCACACAGAGTCACTCCCTATGACTGTATCCATGCAGAGGTGTGTGTTCCGTGCAGTGCTAAAATGTGGCGCAGAGATTGTGGCACAGAGATCTGGCAGCCAGAAACGTCCTACTCAACAGCAACGGACAGGCTAAGGTACATTATACAAACACCGGTTTAAATAACAGCCCTAACCCCAAAATCCATACCATAACCCCCCAATACCCCTAAACCCCCCCCAACCAACCACAGATAAAAATGAACCATACCCTACCACATCATAAAGTAACAATAACACAAATAAAAAATAAACATACCCCCCCCATAACCCCAATAATCCGTAAACAATACACACCCAGGCCCACCTACCAAGACACCCCCCCTAACACCCCCAATACCTATCCCAATAAACAATTCCCTCCCCATCACAGTACCCCCTCTCACCCCTACTACATTAACACCCCCTACCCGGCCGCCCGCAACTCGCCTCGCATCCCTTACCGGTGGCCCTCCCAACCGCCCCCCCCGCAGTGTCCTAACTCCCGTCTCCCCTCCTTCTCCCCCTCGCCCAGTAACACCCACGCCTCCCCCCCACCTCCGCCCGCCCCCGGCCTACCCCCCACATACCCCACCCGAGCTCTATCCGCCCCCTATCCCTCTCCATGCATCCCCCCATCTCCCTTCGCGCACCCCCCTCCCTACCCCCCCTCCCGCCTCATTCCCCCGCGCCCCCTCCGCCCCCCCCCGCCCTCATACTGGTGTGATTCGTCCCTTCTCTCTCTCATGCTGGCTTTTTTTAATTCATCAAGTAAGACAAATTTGATATGAAGTAACAGGATTACGTATTCTCTTTCTTCACTGTCATAATGGTGTTTTTTGTTTTTTTTGATGCCTATACATACTAAGTTAAAGGTCTTAAATATAATAGCTCAATATGTTTCAGCTCTTTTTTTTTTTTTCCAAATTTTGTTGGAACTTTCATCCTTTAACGTTGCCACCCAATGTGTGTTCACCCCTCTTTCCCTGTCTCATATTTCCGTGACTTTTGGCTGGCCAACGTACATACATAATGTACCTGTCTCACGAGGTAGGCAAGTTTCCCCACAAGTGACCGCTCCCGTGGCCCTGAAGACTGCGTAAGTCACACTTTCATTTTTCGCAGAGCAAACATTTTGCACGCTCACTTTGTTCTATTATGCTCTATAGGAGCTTCTAAAAAGCGGAATTTTACCAATTATCATGTTTTCGTCTTATTCTGACTGTGTTTTTAGCACATATGTAATGTATACAACAAAATGTTCTGCACCGGCTGTAGCAGAATACTCTGCCCATTCTGTGATAATAGAGGTTGATTTAGCTATTTCAGCCATTTTTTCGTGGTTTTATATTGGTGGTGGTGCGTGCGTATCAAGATGGTTTTGGTCCTCATGTCTCCCTTTCTCTCTCTCTCTCTCTCTTCTTCCTCTCTCCGTGTTTCAGAGATTCTCGAGCAGTCGG